GGGGGAGGGTGGCGACGGGATAGGAATGTGTTTTGATTACTCGAATTTCATTCTTAATCTTTTTAAAACGAACTAATTCTTTAACACTGCTTACTCGCAGATACAATCAGGGTCTGGTAAATTTGGCCACCTCTTCCAGTCAAAGCGTGAATTACGCCATGTACTCGACAATAAACGCAATTCTAAGGGAGTGGAGACTGACAAAATGAAGGCATTAAACAAATAAGGTGGACAACCGACAGGTACAAGCTTGTACGCGTCTGTCGTTGTCCATGCTTGTGCGGTACCTTCGTTTACCCGATCAATGTGTCAACGCCCTCGTCGAACTTCTCGATTACGATTGAAATTGAATGGGAATAGGCGAGCGCCGTTCGCCGTTCGACAACTTCCGGTTCCTCAGGAAGTCTCGTTTCAGTGTTGATAATTGACGACAATGAGCTGCAAGCCTGTGCAATCATAATTCTGGAACCTCCAGAATGGAGTTTTCATAAGTATGCTTAGGCAGGCTTGCGGATCATCGTCGGCGTTTGTCAACAGCTGAACGAAATTTCCTAAGGAACCGGAAGTTGCCAAACGCCGCTCACCTATCTTGTGACTTGGAAATTTTCCCGCAATCGACTTGCAATGGACCGCACGGACACCCACGAGTTATCGAAGCTAATCCAATGCCGGGCGAGTGTCCCGCGGCCTTCTGGAGCGTAGCCGCAACGTGCGGAGAGCATAGTAACGAATGGACCTTCTGGAAAATCTCACGAGACCTCATCAATCCTACATTGTACCATGCAGCGAGGCAATGCTCGGGCCGTTCCAATATTCGCCAGCTCGTACGCTTCGTACAAGTGGCTCAGTGCGCTGAGAAAATGAGGGAGAGGAGGAGACGAGAGCACGCAGGGGCGTCAGAACACCAGCTCTGGTTGGAACGATTAATGGGTAGACGTAAAGCTAGGTGCCCTTTGTCCCGACTGCACTCGTCCGATGCCTCGGAGTGCAGGCGTCCGGCGCATGGTTCACCCATTCGAGTGTGCGCGATGAATGCAGGGAAGACAAAGCAGCTGGCTTCAGGTCAACCCAGTTACCATTCGAACCAAAGCTCGGTGTTCTGACATACCGGCGCTCCTCCTCTCCTCCAGGTCTCACTGCATACCTTGTCGTTTTTCAATGCCGAGTTGGGAATGGAAAGAAAACGCAACAAAAAAATGCATCCAAAAGCAGACACCAAAGCCTGTACGTAGCCCGTTTTGTGATTGTCCTGCTTTCTTTCCGTTCTGAAATTGTAAAATGCTAAACAAACGCAAACTATTTGCGGGTGCTCCTCCACGTGGGCGCCATACCGGATTGCTGTAGTGCATCGAAGAGATAACAGAAGGAGCTGCATGTTTCCGGATTTTTCGCACTGTCCGCTGCAGTCCATCGTACGGTGAAACAGTACGATAAAACAAAACAAAGTATGTCAAACCATGCTTTCTTTTTTTTTTCTTGCTTTAGTGGAATTCCATACTTTCTTACAACAGAAAGTTACAGTGACGGTCGGCACAGCTTGCGGGGATGGGAGCGCTGTTCAGAACTCTGCCGTCCTTACGACCGTAGTCATCACACAATTAGGGGCGTGCTCACTCAAACGAGGCACATCAATTAGCGACCAATCGAATTACGGCCGGGCAGTGAAAGAAACGATGAGGGTGGCCACTGCCGTACCCCCCCTTCCCCCCTCTCCCCATTCTACTCGGGTGTCGCACCAAATTGCATGTCGGCGTACGCGTGATTGGTGCCGACCTCAGCGCCTCTCTCGATGGGTTCCGGGGCAATCCCGGCTCATTTCCCGGCTCAGACAAACGCCTTGCCGTTGCGGCTTGGGATTGCCGAGGCTCAACAGGGAGCACGGGCGTTTTTGTGCAGAGGTTTACTCCTGGCATTTCATGAATAAACGACAAATGGTGAGAGTCTGATCAGGGGCTGTCGGTCAAATGGTTGTGCAAAGGATTGTGAGACAAGAACACGAGAGATTTAAGGCTTTCTTGCAGTCCTTAGCTGCAATTTTCTTAAACCTTCTTGGCACACTACGGCCCCTACAGCTGCTGCGCCATAGAAACCAAAATTCATTCATTACGAAATCGTCTGAGTTGGCAAACTACCAACAAGAGACTCCCCCCCTCCTCCGACATTCATCACCAGTTGATTGAAGTGCCACCTTTTTGTATGTGCCGCGGCACAGCACCGTTACAACAGTACTGAGAGCAGCAGCAGCTTGCAAGATAGATAGCGATTTGATCAACTGATGACAAACAACGGGTGGGATTGTGGGGTCACCTCTTACAAGCAAGCGTGTATGGAGTTTGCCAACTGATGTAGTAGCATTGGTTGCAGTAGCCCAAAATGCCTCAGGATATAATACTAGGATGATGTAGTAGCATTGGTTGCAGTAGCCCAAAATGCCTCAGGGTATAATACTAGGAGGATATGTGTAAATAGGGTCTGTATATGAAGTGACATAGTTAGAGATTAGTGGAAAAGAGTGTTAGCTCGTTAAAACTTATTGTTTGGTTGGTCCAAGCCCCACAGTGCACAACTCGCACTACTGCAGCAAACAACAAAACTTTCTCTATGGCAAAAAAAAAAAAAAAAAAATGATTTGCTTCTTGGGTGATTCAGCAACCTTCCATATAGCTCCTGTTTACAAACATGTTTGGCTTGTTTTTAATTTTTTTAGTGAAACAAAGCCCTTATGATTCCAGTGCAGTTGCCTTTCCGCATTTATTTTGCTGAAATACCTATTGTAAAGCTCTTCGCGACGGCAGTGCGGGTCCAGTTGATATTTTATTGTGCGCCTAGCAAAGCAGCTTTCGTTGCGAAGGCCATGAAGCGTGCAGCGCACCGTTGACCGTGCAGATTGGTGCATTGATCGACTCCTAGTGGACTGGCTAGAACAGCAAGAACAAGACAATGCAGTGGCGCCGTCTTCCCAAAGGTGTTCTGCCTATCGTGAACGGCGGCACAATGGACAACCAGTTTGCATTAATGTGCTCCAGGTAAAACTTTTCTAACTCCTACAAAGTAAACTTCGGCCCCATTTTCGGCATTGAACGACAAAACGCCCGACAACAACCAACCTTTCTATAAGCGGAGCAGACCTTAGGGCTCCTCTTTGCTGAGGAGGGGAGGAGGGTACGGCCCTAAATATTTGCCCACCACCCTCCCCCTCCCCTGGTCTTTTGACTCCTCCCACAAATCAAACTCAGCTGTTGTCTGGGCATTTCCCGGAATAGCTTCGCAGGCACCCGCAACAGAGGGTCTCCGCTAAGAAAGCGCGATGCAAGCTCGCGGGACTGGGGTTGAAACCCCTTCTCCTCCTCCCCCCCCCCCCCCCTTCTTTTGCCCCTGCGGGCCACAGTCGTGAATCACTCGACGGTGGCGCGGTGTGCCTAGGAGAAGGGGTTCTTGCGGAAATCGCTGTGCGAGGGTAGGCGGCATATGACACTGTGCGGTGGCATGCCACTTGGTCTCTGCCGAAGACTCCACCGGAAAGTTTTGTCGCAGCGTATGTTGCGGTTCAAGCGCGCTGTTAGGGTGAGCGGTCGTTTGGAGACGCCCATTTAGGATTTGTGGGCACTTCTGGAGCAGCTGTCTACACTAGATGAGTTGCCGATGTTGGCGGGTCTTTCTCGAGACACGCATAAAGGCGTTTTTTGAGGCTACTGACATTTGACGTGCTCTCCAGTGTGGTCCTTCAAAAGGTTCTTAATAACTTGAGAGTCAGTGCGGTCTATTAGGGTTTACGACTTTTTCAACCACCCATTATTTTTTGGCACAATCAAATGGCCTGAATTCATCGCTTTTGCAATTTGTTGGAGGACGTATTCCCCCTAAAACGTTCTGCCTGCATGCAGCTTCAAATGCATGGCTTTGATCTGCATTGTTATGCGGTCATGACTGGTCTGTAGAAGGGATTAACGATGTGCCATCCAGTTTGCATGTAACCAGAGTCCCAACCAAAATGCCCATGGTTTGCTAGAGGTTTAGTTTAGAAGAGGCCGAGATTTCAGTTGCATGTTAAAGATCCCCGGTTAGTGAAAGTAATTTCCCAGCTCTTCATTGGGAAATTACTTTCAGGGGCCTTTTGTTAATATAAATTTCATGTTTGTTTTTTTTTGTTTTTTTTATGCAATTGATTGAGGAATGGTCTTTTGGTCTAGTAGTAGTCGTCGAAATAAACATCTGAAGCTTGTGATATACAACGGACGTCTCAATCCACCCCGAGTATTTAAGACATCTAAATCTAAAGACCAAACTGTTTGTGCTCTCTTGAACTTATGCCAGGATTCCAAACCTCATGCACTGTATTTTTTGTACTTCTGATTTTTTTTTTTCTGAGTTTATGTGAAAACAGTTGCAACAAAAAACATTCGCTACTTTTGTTTGTTGCCAGCTTATTATCATTGTTGTGATTGCTTTAAAACTTGCGGGTGTAGCCAACGCGACAAAACACTGGAAGGAGTGAAGAGCTTTAGCCTATTGTCACATTACCGGCTGTAACTTTTGATGCTAAAAAATACTGGGGGTGTGAAAACATTGTGTGTTCGAAGCATCACCTGATGTTGCACACACAAAAAATGTTGCACTAAGTTACGTTACACAGACAAAACGCGGGTAGGCTTTAACTGCTCTGACCAGTTGAAGCAAGAACCTTAGGACACTACAAGATTTCCAAAACCATCATCCAGTGTTGGATATATAAATTACATCATAGGATAGTATGGCAACGACATATTTCAACAATTCACGGCCCGTCGCAGCAAAAAGGGGAATATTATGCAACTGAATGTGTATAGGCTGTAGCCCCTGACCTGTTAAAGCAAGAGACTGAGGACACTACTAGCTTCCCTAAGCAATCACCTAATGTTAAGCATACAAACTGGAACATAATAGGGTAGAAAGACCAGTAACTTATTTCAACAATTCACTACCCGTGTTGCGCAAGAAATCTTAATGTTTGTTTGAGTTACCTGAGGCATGATGGCTGGAAAGCCGAAGAGATTCATGGTCTGGCGGTCAATGAGCCGGGGAAACATCTGCATAGTCGGATCCAAAGCCAGTTGTAACGCGGCTGGAGCCGGATTAGCCGAAGCTGCAGCCGCAGCAGCCATGTGGGCCCCTGTCAGAGCGCCGTCCGCAGCCGTGGTCGAAGCCGTGTTGGGGTTGTTTGCCCAGATGTTCTCGACGTAACTTTCCGTGACAGAGACTGGAGGAAATGCCGGGTTATCCTCGGGTTATCCCCGTATCCGTGAATAGCTGCAGGAACTTGGTCGGTTTTTCGGCCAGATGAGAAATTGTTGTCCTCTCAGAGTGGAGCTAGTGTGACCGTTTGTTTTGAGCCCTTGATGGTGGGGGACTGTGCAGATGCAAAGTTTTTTTTACAGTACTCTGACTGAATGAGAGGAGTTATCTTGTGATGGTGTCAGGTAAGGGTGAACTTTCAACACCGGACGATTGTGACACCGTGTGCGCTGACTACTGATGTAACTATATTATAAGCTCTTATCCACCAAGTCACACCACACCCGTTTTTGTTGCTCGCCGACGTTGCAAGCTTCAGGAGACTGTTCCTTACTAAGCTCGAAATTAATTTCAGCAGAATTCACACGAAGCTTGCATATGATTGAACTGAACACATTTGATGACTGAAGCCGATGAGTAGTTGTAGCGAAGAGATGCGGTCAGAAGGGAACTCGGTCACAGATGTCACCTCTGGAGTGTTTGCACCTGTCAATCACAACTACGATAAACCAGATGGCACTGCCTACACAATGCACAATCTATCTCGACGTTGTCTAGCAGAGCGATGACGTCACAAGGTCCCTTTCTCACGTGACCAAACACAGCTACACTGCTGGGTACCGTTTGTTCGTGGCAGTCAGTCCAACATCTGACGGGACGTGGGCGGTCTTCTGCAGGAACGGTCCATGACTGACAACAGATGACTTGCTCAGTCAACTGCTTCAAGACACGATACCTGATGGTGCAGGATGTGCAGTGCAGTCGGTTTTTGATACTTGACCTGGTGTACAGGCTCAAGGATGCGAAGAGGTTCCGTTGGATAATGATGTCGGACTTCTGGGAAAGACTTGTCCTAATCCCGCTGAATGGTGCTGGTACTTAGACTCACTGGCTATTGTGGGAACAAAGAAGAAAAAAATGCAGGATAATCCTCCGCATTGAAATCGTTCTTCAAGATGTCGGCGAGGTTCTAGATGATGGGATGTCGAAACTTGAGGTAGGACAGGTCCTGGTCGTTGTATCTGCTACTCAAGTTAGTCTTGTCTTAGAAGCAGCGATGGTTGGGGACGATACTCCGAGGTTGTGTCCAAGACGTTCAGGAGGTCGTTCTTGGAGGAAGCCCAATGCTAATAAATGTCAACAGGTAAGGCTAGCACACACACTCCACTGGCCGCGCTGTTCTCGAAGATCGTCGCCTTTTCGTAACCCAAGTATTCCGAGGATCCTCTGAATCCGACCAGCTCCAACTGCCTGCTCGTGGCGAAAAGGTTCAGGCTCGGCGTCGTCCCGTAAACTACGGCTGCCGTTGCGAAAGCTCTCTCTCCCTCCTTCCCTCCCTTCGTCTAGAACGGAAGAAGGAATAAAAATAAAAAAAAGCATAGTACCAGGTTGGGATTTTGACGTCGGCTTGGATTCACTCCGTCGTCACCATGCAACCCTCCCAAGAGGAAAAAAAAAAGCTAAAAAAGAAAACCAAAAAAACTCGCGGTTTCTTTTTAGTGATATTTTTTGGCAGATATTTTTTTCTTCTCTTTGGCAGTTCTCTGCCTGAGGCGTTATTGGAGATGCACCCCCCCCCCCCCCCTCCTCCGGGTTCTAAATCGGGGTTGGAGAGGGGGAAGAGGAAACACGTGGCCCGTGTGCACCCCTCTCTCTTTCCCTCTTTCTCGGCTCGCGTGGCCCACGTGGGAGGGCTACAAGCCCCGGCTGGTTTAGTGACGGCGGTAGCGTTGGCTGCTGGTCCTCTTTTTTTTTCTCTCAATATTGTTGTGGTCTCGATTAGCTTCGTCATTATTAACATAAAGCACGGCGTCGTCGTGGGGGTTTAGAAATGGTTGGACGGACGGCTTGTTTAAAGGAAAAGGAAGACGGCTTTCTGCCGGAGGGAACCACAAGCCTGCAGATGGGGTTGAGGGGGGGCTACGAGTCTAGAAATATCGCCAGCCGACGAGCAGTTGTAAACGTTCTCTGTTTACTTTTCCTTTGTCTATTTCGAACAATAAGTAGACGAGGCACGTGGGGGTGTCTTTGGTGATGTCAGACGGTCGCGGCGGAGTTTGTAGGCGATACACGTGCAGCGTGCAAGTTCGTCTGCTTGTTTCGTACCTCGTGCGTTTGTTTAGCCTCCCTCCAAATGCGCCCAGGTGCTTTTGTCCCCCTCCTCGACATCAACCGAATGTCGGGGCGGGCTCAGCCGCCTCGTCATCGTGCGCCCTTTACGCGCTATTTATGTTGCTCGTTCATCGGCGTGCCACTCCTTGAGTTCCAATGCGCCATCCTTTTCTTCTTTCTTTTTTTTTTTTTTTTTAATTTATATATGCACGTGTTTCCGTCGCCACGGAATCGTCTGGAAACTTGACTCACGTTTCGTCAGCCTGAAAGAAAACAGTGTCACAGCTTCGCAGCAGATGTTTTTTTTAGAAAACACGATTGCGCTTTAGGACAAGGACAGTGGAAAAACAGACGGCATGGAGCGCCAACTTTCAACTGTTTAATGAAAGACATCCTCAACAAACGTACTTCCGATCGGTGACGGAACGTCGGATTGGTTGAGGGTTGAGCGACCGTTTTCCCTAAGCATTTTAATGAAAAAGAAAAAAAAAACATTATGTACATTATTCAAAAGTTCAGTCGTTGGTGGTCTTTCTGCAGACCCTCCCCCCTAGGCGCGGCCAATAAATCCGCGCCTGAAGGTTTTGTTTTGTTTTTATTGAAAAGGGGTGTCTTATCGCGCCATCTTTATTGCATCCTCATGGTGCCAGTGCTTGAAGTCAAGGAAAGGGGGTGGGGTCTCTTCTCGGGGACCTTACTCCCCCCACGGATTTCAACGGTAGGTCTGAGAATCCTTCGGGGAGTATATTACAACCGTCGCGCCCCTGGCGGCGAAGTTGAGAACTAAACCCATAAGCACAACATGAAACGTGAAACGGTGTACAAACAGCTGGCGTGAGTGCTTGCGGAATTAACACGTCCGCCGCGTCACATTTTGCCTCGAACAAAGGTGTCGTCGCGAACGCAACATTTTTTTGCGCTTTGGTTCGTGCCTCGAATGAAACACTGTCCACCGGACCAGTAGCTTTGGCGATAGCTTTTCACTTTTAAAATAAAAATAGAAAGAAAGAAGAAAAAAAACACGACGACTCTCTAGGGACACGCGAATATAATTGAATCCAAAAGCGCTGCGTCATCTTTCAAGGGAGAACCACGAGAATTCGAACGCAGAAGGGAGAACCACGAGAATTCGAACGCAGAACGCGTCGCTTTCCTTCCTGTCAAGCAAATCGTGTAAGGACTAGTACTTCAAGGAATCCTCAAACTATGCGCAAAACGATTTTTTTTTATTTTATTTTATTTGTTGAGTCGATTACGAGTATAGGCCAGCGCCTATTTCGCAGGGGCACGATCGAAAGCAGAACGTGTAAGGCATGCAAGTGTGCCAAAATACGTCTCTGGTGCACGGGAACGCAGAGAGAAGGAAGGGGGGGGGGGGGGGGGGGGCACGCCAATCACAGGGCAACGCAGCGAACACGCAGGGAATGCGGGATGACGACGCAGCCCAAGCTCGAGTCGTCGTTGCTCGAGCTCGGGGGTAAACAACAGCAGGTGGACGCGTTTGGCGGGTAAACGAACGCACGAGGTGCGCGAGGATCAGACCAGCTTGCACGTCGTGTATACTACCCATGCTGTCCAAAAACCTGTATCTTCATTTTATTTATTTTTTAGTCATTATAGCGAGTGTGAAGTTTGCTCGTCGTATGACACGTGACCGAGTCTATCACTTCGCTCCAGCTCACGATGTGCGATCCCCCAGCCAATCCGGCTCTGTGCACGCATCGCGCGACTGTCGGTCGCTGCTGACAGGGTCACGTGACACCCACGCGACATTGGATTGGCTGGAGACGGCTCGTAGCGTCCGTTGCGATCCATCGTAAAATAAATTAATAAAAAAAAGTGAGCCAGAACACGACGGGACTTTGGCATGCGAGACACGCGCACGCCAGAGTCGAAGAACCTCTCGCGTCCTCGTAAGGGAGCTTTTACTCGAGGGGGAAAAAAAGGAAGAGGAAGGGATACAGGGAAGATGGGGAGAAAGAGGGGAAATCGGAACCTCGCGTCTAAAGCTGGAATCTAAAAAAAAAGAATCGAAATTTTTCTTTTGGAAGTTTGGAGGGACGAGTTTCACGAGTTCTTATTATTACTATTATCGTTATTATCATTTACTCGCGTCGGTGTCGTCGTGATGAGTCCTCCGCCGTTTTATTTCGAGCATTCGCCTTCTCCCCCCTTTAGATTTGCTCTTCATTTCGCTCGCTGGCGGAGGAGGCGGAGGTTTCTCGGCGCCCCTGCCGTCAATTTGCGAGACCCAGCGGCGGCGTTTACTGCAGCTTGCGACGGACCGCAAGCGCGCGCTACCAACAGTCGGAGCCAATCCAGTGCCGTGTGTGTGTGTCACGTGATCATCCGAGAGGGAGCGCGTGGACGGGGCAGTGTGGCGTCGTTTTGAAATTCCCCACTCGTGAAAGGCCGCTCTTTCCTGTCCCATTTTTTTTTTTTTTTCCCTAGAATGCTTTCCCTTCTTTTCCCCGCACTAGTCGTCTCCATTCCATCTCTTACATCACTTTACACACAACTCGAGTGTCCCCGTCTTTTTTTTTTTTTTTCTTATTTACGCTAAAGTCTCGCTTAATCTCGTTTTAGCACTCGCACAACTCTAGGTGCTTTTTTTATTTGTTTTTACCTGTCTACTACCTGGCCACGTCTCCCTTCTTTTTGCTCCTTTTTCACTCCCCCTTCTGTCTTGTTTTCACTTCCTTCGGCGTGCCGTTCTAGCGATTTGGATGCGCGTTGGGGGATTTTTTTTTAGCAGCTTTTGTTGATTGTTTTTGCCTGGGGCCCCGCTTTGTGCTCGACTGTCATCTCTCGCTTACTCTCTAATGCATCCCAGCTCGGCAGCCTCGACCATGACGTGTCATATTCTCTCATTTTCACTTCAATTCACTCCTTGCCTGTTTTATATTCTTTTTTCCTCTGGGTCTCCCTAAAAGTTTAATCGCCTGGCTTTCTTTCTCTTTCTCTCTACTACGCCGACGTTTTCCCTTTACCATTCATTAGGTCTTCCAAATCTCACTCTTCGTTTTATTGTTTTTGTTTTAATTTCTCGACTTTATATTGTCATTTAGCTTTAACTCCATTTCCACTCTTCCCGCGCCTCTACTTTTGTCTTAATCTATTATCTTTCCCCGGAGGTTTATTTACATCCTTTCAACCCTTCATACTCTATCTCGTCCTCTTGTTATGTGCGATGGACGAATGGATCAATACGACGAAACTCATTGAATCTGGCGTCGACTTGCGCCACCTAGCGTGTGTTTTGAACTGCCACAGCTAATATATACTACCCATACGAGCCTTTGAGAATGACAGCGAAAATAATTTTAAAAATATTTTTGAAATCTTTTTATCTAGATTGAATCCACAAGTCGGATTAATCTCTATTGAGTCATCTCTAACCATTCCAACGATTGCGATTTTTGAGGCATCTAATGTCTTCTCTCGGCCGATAGTGGCCCCAAAAATGGCACGACATTTGTGTCGTCATCACAACAAACTATGACCCACGGCATACCGTTGGCAAATATTGTCAGCTCATGTGTTCACCCAAGACCACGTGACTAATCTTTTTGGTTACTCTAGCCTGGGCGAACGCATCGACCCTTTCTTCGCTACGAGGCCGCTGCGAGGCGCCACCATCGCCCTATTAAAAATGGTCGTTTATTCCTGCGTCTGCTAAATCCAAAAAGCCATTTTAAATCGTTGTGCCGCGTGTCAAACTTACTTTTTTTTCGGTTTCGATTTTTAGTTTCGGCGACTCCTGATATAAAGGTCTGGTTTTATTTGTATAGGAAATTATTATTCTCTTTCATTCACGATACATTCAGCTCTGAAATTAAACTATAAACAAATACCAATTTTAATAAAAGAAAAGTCAGATTTACAACAGGAGGGACAGCCTGAAACGATAATTTTATTTCTTTTAATACCTCGCCAACATTTTTTTTTTTTTTTTTTTTTTTTTTTTACTTTTTGAGTAGCAAGTGTGACTGCTAAACAGTCCTTCGTTCCGCTGTCATCTCCTGGTGCTTGTAATCCCGGAGTTTCGCTTAATCCCTCCTCGCTTAATTAATCTGCCAGGCAATTTACAACAGCGAGAATCCCAGCCTCGAGTAAGCTTCGTTTTTTTCCCCGTTCTAAACGGATAAAATAACAAATCGGCAGCGCATTTTATTCTTAATCGGATTAATTAAAATGGAACTGGTTTAGAGTGT